GAAGGAGTAGATAGTGGAGTTTTCCTTTCTAAGCAAGGAAGGAAAGCCTTTTTTCGTCTGGTCAGCTAACTAGGGATTCTCTCCAAATCATTCTCCCTATCCCAGGCTAACCTTTGGGTTAATTCCCTTTCATTTCCTTTTTTTAGAAGCTAGGTTACCACCACTGTAAGTCCACCTGAGCATGGCTTCCCCAATAGGCTCTTTTCTGCTTGTCTTTTCCTCAGAGGATGGCTTGTGCTCATTTCGCTCTTGTTGAGTGTTGTGGATTGCGCTGGTTACAGAATCCTTTTGTCAGCCTGCACCCCTGCCCACTGCCTGAGCCCAGGTGTATAAAAAGAACACTTTCCCTCCCAATTTACACTTATCTTTTGTAAAACTATGAATTGAGTAATAAAATCCAAATCAGAACAACAGGATTTTTGGTTGAAACACACAGAGGCGGCTCTTAATTGGCTTTCTTATCTTTTAGCTGCAAACAGCAGACGCCCTGACACCTCTAATAGGGAAAGTTGTTTATAGCAAAGCTAGACAGTAGGAATAGCAAATGCCCCAGTAGGAATTGAGCCAACTTTGTGTCTTACGGGCCACTTGGGTTTTCACAACATGGCTGCCACTCCATTGTCTACTAAATGGCTTGCTCTCTTTGCCTAACTGTACCTTTTACTTCCTCGTAACTTTGGTTTGCAAATAATCTAGCATGTACCCATTAGGTATCTTTCCACAACTTCTAAAAAGAGAACTCCTTCATACTTCCAGTAGGAACTCCTGAGGGAGAATACAGTGAAGCACATCTCTGGGGAGGTCTGGTTTAAGTCATCTAGTCAGTGACAGGCAGGGTGACACTGTCCAAGTAGGGCTCGCGCTTCATTTGTATCCCCTTAGAAGGGGAATCTGAGAGTAACAGACACTGTTGAGCCTGTCTGGTACCACAAGTTCTTCTGACTTTTCAAAGGAACAGAATGCCTTACCCACAAAATGGGGTAGTGTCCTTCTCACCAGCAAAGAGTCACATTGGGGGTGGAGTTGGGGGAGGAGGAGGAAGAATGGAATTTACAAAGGCAGGGACCGGGGGAGCCTTTTACTATGAGCTTTGTGTTTCTAGTTCTAGCTTTAGACACAGTTTCTCTGCAGCAGTTAGAGAAAGATGGAGGAGGAGACTTCCTTTGAGAGGGTATCATGCCATGTACTTGTTTGGCCCCAAATCATGACCAATGTCCAGTGACAGAGCCAGAACCAGAAGCTGTTTCCTGGCATCCAAAGCACACCTAGGTCTTTTATTTCTCCCGGGGAGGAAGCACTGTGCTGTGAAGTGTTTAGGAACTTCAAGATAAAAACACATTGACCAGGGACCTTCATTTCCTCTCTCAAGAAACCCTTCTCAAAGGACAATGAATAGAATTTTTAAAAGACTTTGTAAAAAGTTATGAAGTGAAACAATGGGAAAGAAGGTAACACTTTTGGAAAGAAGTGGTAGAGGAAATCCCAGTGTCTGTGGAGTGGGCTGAGGGTTGAACCTAAAGACTTGTGTGTACTTGTACTTTCTGCCAGAGCTGCACCCATCCCCAGAGGGTGGGATCTTGAAGATTTGCATGGCAGACCCTGAAAAAGGTTTAGGAAGTAGAGCCATTATCACTGTATGCTTTTTTTCTTTTATTATTCATATGTGCATACAAGGCTTGGGTCATTTCTCCCCCCTGCCCCCACCCCCTCCCTTACCACCCACTCCGCCCCCTCCCGCTCCCCCCCACCCCCTCAATACCCAGCAGAAACTATTTTGCCCTTATTTCTAATTTTGTTGTAGAGAGAGTATAAGCAATAATAGGAAGGAACAAGGGTTTTTGCTGGTTGAGATAAGGATAGCTATACAGGGAGTTGACTCACATTGATTTCCTGTGCGTGGGTGTTACCTTCTAGGTTAATTCTTTTTGATCTAACCTTTTCTCTAGTTCCTGGTCCCCTTTTCCTATTGGCCTCAGTTGCTTTTAAGGTATCTGCTTTAGTTTCTCTGCATTAAGGGCAACAAATGCTAGCTAGTTTTTAGGTGTCTTACCTATCCTCACCCCTCCCTTGTGTGCTCTCGCTTTTATCATGTGCTCAAAGTCCAATCCCCTTGTTGTGTTTGCCCTTGATCTAATGTCCACATATGAGGGAGAACATAGGATTTTTGGTCTTTTGGGCCAGGCTAACCTCACTCAGAATGATGTTCTCCAATTCCATCCATTTACCAGTGAATGATAACATTTCGTTCTTCTTCATGGCTGCATAAAATTCCATTGTGTATAGATACATTTTCTTAATCCATTCGTCAGTGCTGGGGCATCTTGGCTGTTTCCGTAACTTGGCTATTGTAAATAGTGCCTCAATAAACATGGGTGTGCAGGTGCCTCTGGAGTAACCTGTGTCACTCACTGTATGCTTTGTTGAACCTACTCATACTAGAGACTTTGGACTGGGAGAGAAGTCAAAGTCTAGAGTTAAAGACATGTTAACTGTGAAACTTGGGTGGTCCAAGAAACTCCTGGTGTTTACTTTTCTTGGGTTCAACTGAAATGAAAGCATCTCCATAGAGAACAGCAGAGCTGTATGAATACCCTAGCCCCATGTTTTCCTGTATCACTCAGGGTTGAGAACCACAGACTGCACTCAAGTCATGGCATGGCCACTGGCTACCAGAGGAGCTCGGGTCTAGAGTGCAGGTTGGGTATAGAACCAAAATCAGGAGATCCCATAGCCCTCTTGGTGAAATAATTTGTGTCATCAGTCACTGTCACTGGTGGGAGAAATATCTACATAGGTGGCTGTATAAGGAGAAAACCAGCTACTTTTAGGGGTAAAGTGTGCTGCAACTTATTTGATTACTGATCCATAGTGAATGTTAATTCTTCTCCCTGGGATAATGGGGAAGAAATTTGGGCAAAATAATACCTAATATATATCTAAAAATTATCTACAGTCATAGTCAAAGAGTCTTTGGAAGGAAAGTATTGTTAAGAGGGATTTAGGATTGTATGAGAGGAAAGACCTTAAAAGTCCTGAGTTTCCCTTAGGTTGGAAACACAAAGTGATACTAGCTTAAGTTCATTTTAGACTTTTTTCGACTCACATTTTTCTTAGCAGAGATTGATACAGCTCTCCTTAAGATGTCTCTGTTCAGAAGTATTTGTAACTCTTAGGTATATAATTTTATAGTCTTAGGTATGTATTTTTATTGGCGACAGCTGAACAGTTCATTCTGACAGTGTTATCCAAAACTTGGCTTCAGCTTTTCTCCTTACAACAAGTAGTTTCCAATTAAGACAGAAAAAATAAGGGAATCCTTGAGACAACTCTGTTACTGGTTACTTTTTTCACAGTTTGAACAAGAAACAAAAATAGGGTGGGGGTGTCCACAGAAAGCCAGGAGCACTTAATCTAGCTAATGAGTCAGACTCAGTTACAAGTGGCATACTCTTTTAGAACTAGCTGTTTATGCTGAGTACTTGATAAAATTAGACAACCTCTGGGATTTTGCCAGATGCTGAGAACTGAACAACCACAAGCAGTGCCTAAAGAACTGGGACTAGATTTACCCGTCTACTTTAAATAGGCAGTGTCAATGGGCAGAGCCAAATGAATTGTTTTCTGAGGACTCCATTTCAGCCTGAGTCATATTTTTTTTCTTTTTTCCAGAACTGGGGATCAAATGCAGCACTTGTGCATGCTAGGCAAACATTTAACCACTGAGTTCCATCCCCATCCACTCAGGATATTTTTAAATGAGTATTAAAAAATAACATTTTCCTTTTCTTTGACAAGGTCAAGACCCTGTAACCTAGTATGCCCTTAAACTTGTGATCCTCCTGCCTCAGTGCTGGAATTACAGGCATGTACTGAAATGCCCAAGTAATAGACTATTCTTAGTGGACACAGATTAGGTAGATTTTTTTTTTTTAACATGAGAATAGATTCACTCAAGATCTCCTTTTACATCAATATCTAAAAATACACAATGCTGGTGGAGTGGCTAAAGTGGTACTGCACCTGTCTAGCAAGTGTGAGGCCCCGAGTTCAAACTACCCTCCCCCCACTGCAAAAAAAAAAAATTTAGATACTGATCCACTCAAAATCAAAAGCAGGCAGATACAGAAAAGGGGAAATCCTGAGTTCTGATATTCTTAGAGTACAGATTTCTTTGCCTCAACCTGTGTTACTTACTTGGGCAGATTAGTGTATCTACTTACACATATAAGTTAGTCTCAGCTGCTCTGTTAAATGGGCTTGAGGGCTCTAAGAAAACTAGTGAATCAGATGGGCCAGGCAAGAAACACAGTAGCGGTGCTCCAAATGCTAGCAGTTTATCCCGAGAGTAGGAACTAATGACAGCACTGCCTTTGACCAGCTAGCATTACAGCCCAAACTGCAAAGGGAGAAGCTGCCAGAAATCCTGTATAGAAAGCAAACACTGGAAGGTGGTTATAGCTGGACAGGGAATAAAGTCTAAACACAAGATACTGGGCAAATCAATGGTATTTTTTTGTTTTTGCTTAAAAGTATTTTTAGGCATTAATAAGTACAAGAATAACAAGTACAAGAATGCTTGAAGTTCTATATACAATAAATGTTTTTTTTTTTGGTAGCACTGGGAGGGGTTGAACTCAGGACCTTTCATTTGTTAGGCAGGTGTTCTACCACTTGAGCCACTCTGCAGCCCTTTTTGTGTTATTTTTGAGATAGGGTCTTGCTTTATGCCCAGGCTGGCCTGAACCACAACCCCGTTCTGTTTCCCCACACAGGTGGAGTCTCATGAATTTTTTTTATCCCCACTGGCCTCAAATCACGATCCTCCCTGATCTTTGCCTCCCAAGTAGCTAGGATTACAGGCTTGAGCCACTGTACCTGGTTATGATAAATATTTTGATAGTCATTTTAAATGTCATCCAGTTTAGGGGTATGATGATACTTAATTAAATGTGCTTTTCAATTGACATGTAAAATGAACTTATTTTTATCTTTTCTGTTAGCTTTATCTTCAAGCCAGGATGAAGGGAGATTGGGCAAGACTCTTACGACCCACACTGCAATTTGGTCTTGTTGCCGTATCAATTTACGTGGGCCTTTCTCGAGTTTCTGATTACAAACACCACTGGAGTGATGTTTTGACCGGTCTCATTCAAGGAGCTGTGGTTGCAGTATTAGTTGTAAGTATACAGAGCAGCAGCCTACGTCTTGTTACGGACACACATTTGGATAAAAAGCAGAAAACAAAACAAACCAAAAAAAACACCCAAGTGAGAAAAGTATAACAAGGCAGAGAATTTTGCTCAGTAATTTCTAGTGGATAAGAATCCCAGTATTACTAAACGTTCTTTTAGGATACAGTGGGTAAAAATTAGGTTACTCTTTGCAAAAGTTATAAAACTCTATTTTTATTGTTAAAGCCTATGGTTGTAAATGATTTTTGGTATGGACTGAAAACTAATTTACATAAAGAATTAACACTTTTAAGTGTTGGTAGAATGAAGCTATTTACCAAGGCATTGTCTATTTGAAATAAGCTTTTTAAAAAAATTCCTATTAACTAGTTTTTCATATTCTTAATTGATATGTCTAATGTATATCCTTTTGTCTTTACAAGCTACTTCCTGCAACTTGTATGGTTTTTAAACTTACATAAAGTATACCATTAAATACTTTGCCCTGTTCTAAGTGTAACCTGTTCTATGTAGGCTGTGTATGTATCAGATTTCTTCAAGGAGAGGAATTCTCCTTTTAAAGAAAGAAAAGAGGAGGACTCTCATACAACTCTTCATGAAACACCAACGGCGGGAAATCACTATCGGAACAATCACCAGCCTTGAAGGCAGGGTGGCAGGTGAAGCTGGCCTGCTTTCTAAAAGGAAAACAACTGCAACCACAAGGCAAGAGGATGCGTCTTTCTTTCTGGTGTACAGGCCTTTATGGGACTGCTGCTGCTGCTATACCTCCTGGATACCCACTTTATCTGTGTATATAGTTACATTTAACACAATGGTTATCTAACAGCTCTTAAATTCATTTAAAATTTCAAGCCTTCCATTAAACAATGCCCCACCTGTACATGTTTTATTAAAAAATGTAATGCTTATGTACATATGTGTATGTAATACGCTTTCTTGGAATGATATTTGATTTAAATACAATCTGTATTAAAATGTTTGAGGACAATTGTCTTGAGATGGGAGAACATATCAACACTTGTAAGCATCTGTAGTCAACTATAATCAGCCAGGTAGCAAGTAATTTTAAAATTCTACTTCCTTTAGCTGATTCTTCATAAGTAGAGGCTGGCAGCAAACACAATGTCTCTCTTGATTTTGGTGATTCCTAGGAGAAAAAAAATAAGGTTTAAGCTTTGAAGAGTGTAAGGAGTTTAATAAAGACTGTACAATAATCCTGATTAAATTGGTGATGCAACCTGGAAATAAAAAGCTTGCTCGTCTAAAAGATACCACCAAGAGGTAGAAAGTTTAGAAGCCAGACCCTGTTCTTTTTACTGTGAAGTACCCTGTATGTGAGGACTAAAAACGAGAGTCTGGAAAGGTTTAAGTTGTAAGATATTGTTGATCAAAAAGCATGGATCTATATATTTTTTTTCTTTTATTATTCATATGTGCATACAAGGCTTGGTTCATTTCTCCCCCCTGCCCCTACCCCCTCCCTTACCACCCACTCCGCCCCCTCCTTCTCCCCCCACCCCCTCAATACCCAGCAGAAACTATTTTGCCTTTATCTCTAATTTTGTTGTAGAGAGAGTATAAGCAATAATAGGAAGGAACAAGGGTTTTTGCTGGTTGAGATAAGGATAGCTATACAGGGCATTGACTCACATTGATTTCCTGTGCGTGGGTGTTACCTTCTAGGTTAATTCTTCTTGAACTAACCTTTTCTCTAGTACCTGTTCCCCTTTTCCTATTGGCCTCAGTTGCTTTTAAGGTATCTGATTAGCTTCTCTGTGTTGAGGGCAACAAATGCTAGCTAGTTTTTTAGGTGTCTTACCTATCCTCACCCCTCCCTTGTGTGCTCTCGCTTTTATCATGTGCTCATAGTCCATTCCCCTTGTTGTGTTTGCCCTTGATCTAATGTCCACATATGAGGGAGAACATACGATTTTTGGTCTTTTGGGAGAAGGCAATATATTTTTAATTACCCTCTGAAATGATTTTCTGTACCAAGTCAGGATAAATACAAATTTTATTTTTAGACCTTTCACACCTAGGGCTGGAGGCATGGCCCAAGCAGTAGACTACCTACATAGCAAGTGGGAAATCCTGAGTTCAAAGCCCAGAACCATCAAAACAAAATCAAATTTCATGCCTTCATATCTCTTCAGAGGCAGGCCTATTTAATCACTCATGTGGGAACATAAGCCAGTTTTTGCAAGCCTTTTCTTAGAACAGTAAGTTGTTAGCAGAAATCACTAGCATCAACTAGCTTGGAATAACACTGTGGGCTGCCGTTCTTTGATGCTTTAATTCATAGTCTTTTTCTTGGCCAAGATTCACTCAGGTGGAGATGATTTACGAACATGCTTATTCCCCTCCCCCCAATCCTTGGTCTAGTCACCCTTTTGTAATCTGGTCTCCCTGTATCCACATTGTTACTCCACAGACATGCCCTCAATGCGACAGCAAGAATTGTATTATAAAATCCAAGTTAGCGTACACTACTCCTCTGTGCTCCAAACCTCTAATCATTGCATAGAAGGCCAGGGCTGGGGCTACATGATCAATCCCTTTCTCCCTCCAACCTTCCTCTACTCTGCTCATTCTACTTCAGCCACAATAACCTCTTAATGTTGCTGAAGTACATCAAGCATACAGAAACAGCCTTACATGTCACTTTCTTGTATGGAGGCCCCCATGCCATCTCACCTATCCCCCAGTCCTCTTGTCTTCTCCTGTTTTATTCCTATATAACCAATCTGATATATTTTAATTGTTGACTTGTTGACTGTCTCCCCCACACTAGAACATAAGCTAAATGAAAGCTACAGTATCTCCTCATACTTAAAACAGTGCCTGGCACATAGTAATTGCACAATGAATACACGTAAATGAGTATATATACACACACACACACACATACACAATCTCAAAAACTTTTCCCACATAAGCCCTCTAAAATTTTATGGAAACTATTAGGAGGCACTTCATGGTAATCCAAGAAAGACAATTCAAAATGTCCTCCTAAGTTGTCAAGGGTTCAAGTCTGGAGATTAGCCTAAATTACTACAAAAGGCTTACAAACTGGATACTGACCTTCTGCAAATTTATTTTCCAGCTCAGTATTTCCAATGGCTTTTGCTGCCTGACACATCTGTCGAAGCAATTCTTCTAGGCGTCTCATACAACGAATTATGCTGCCTGGAGAGAAAAGGAACAAACTGCTTAACAGATATAATCATACACAATAGAATATTTGTCATGAGGCAAGCTAGGAGAACAGAGAACAGGTATTTTGAAGGGCTAAATAAGCTGGCAACTTTGGCTAGCTGCTAGGCATTATGAAGACTACAGAAAAGGCAAGCCAATTTTGCACCTCTGGCTAATGGTAGCAAGAGACAGATTTATTAATGTTGACACTTGCTATTACATGCACATAAACCAAATGCCCAGGAAGAGGAGAGCAACTCTGAGATAGGCTGGCACATGTGACATCTAATCTGGGTCTGTAAGAATGAGATCTCTGTCAGGCAGTGACAGGAGAAGCCCACTGAGAGTGCAGCAAAGTCTGACAAAATGAAGTTTATTCAAGGACCCTGAGTGCGCCTACTTAGCTATCTGGATACTCGGCCCACTATTCTGTGGAGAGAACAGAACAGAATTAGGTATGTCACTTTAAAGGTGCAACCATTCATTCTTGTTAACCTTAGACACTTTCCTCAGTGCTGTCTTCACACAGTGTATCTTCAAGGAAGCAGAGAGGAGAAAGCTTTTTCCCCGTGGATCTTGACTCTGTATCAAAGCTGAAACTGTAAACAGTGCCACTTGTGCAAAGAGAGGCCTGGGATCATTTCTCCAACTGCTACTTGCCTGAATTCACTTTTTTTTTTGGGGGGGGGGTAGTGGTGGTGGTACTGTGGTTTGAACTTAGGCCCTCATGTTTGCTAGGTAGGTGCTGTACCACTTGAGCCACGCCCCAGCCCATTTTGCTTTAGTTTTTTTTTCTTTTGCACAGGCTGGTTTGGGACAAGATCCTCCTACTTAAGCTTCCCATGTAGCAGGGATGACATGCCAACATGCTCGGCTTTAATGGCTGAGAAGGGATCACAGTAACTTTTTGCCTGGGCTGGCCTCAAACTTGTATCTCAGTGTGTCTCCCGAATAACGGAACTACAGATGACAGCAACCATGCCTGGTGGAACTTCACTTTTAACGTCTAAAACACATTATTAATATCAGTTCTCAAAATGCTAGCTGTAGGAATGAACCATAATGTAATTCCTTGAAGCACTAGAATAACTCCTTAACATCAAGTTCTTATAATCATTGCTCAATGATAAAGGTCCTTTTTCTTTTATTGCCCTCCACATAATGTTCCCATGTGTGCAAGGGGGGAATAAGAACTGAAAGATTCAACTCAAAGCAGAATGAAGTAGGGAAGTCTCATAGCATTTCAAATTGTTTAATATATACACACTACCCTTAAAATAATTTAACTTTCCGGACATGATGAGTTCTCACAACTGTATGTGTAAGGCTTTTTATGGTTTTTAATAGCAGAAATTCAAAAATTTTCTATATCCAACAATTTAAGATTGAAAAATTATGCAAGTATTAAAATTTTACAGATCTATACTCATTTGAGTGTGGATGCTGTGAAGACAGGAAGGGCAGCAGCCCTGCGAAGGAACTGCTTACCCTACATCCTGTGTAACAACGGGCAAGATATATAACCTCTCCTTGCTTCAGTTTAATGATCTGAAAACTTGTAAAAGTCATAAGTTTATTATGATTAAATTGTTTCTTCTATGTAAAGGTCCATGTCTTATCTCTGAGTAAGTATCAACAAATACTAGCTGATCTTAGTAATCAGTGACAGTAATAGGAGGTGGCATTTGGAAAGACAGCCAGCAGTTAAGTATGCCTCTGCCAAATTACCTATTGGTTCAGGCTATCAAATCCTGCAGTTACTTCTCATCTCTCATTACCCCAGTTGAAATACTATTTTATCTTCCATAACACTTTAATTACTTCTTCCTGGTCTCTTAGGCTGACTCTCTGTTTTGAGTTGTAAAGAGAATGCACTAGATCGCAAACCCTGCCTGCTATCCCCCTCTGTGACCATATTTTCTTCTTGGACCCCCCAGTCTACAGAAAAGCAACCCAGTCATCATTATCATATCAACTGAACTGAGTTCTTTGCAAATACTTTTTTTACCATTTGATCTTATTCATGCAAGCACACAGACACATACTGGATTTATTTTTACTGTTTACTTTTATCAGCTTTTCTTCTGAACTGGTATCTTTTATATCATTCAGTCACCACTTTGATCTTACGAGACAGGCATTCTTATTATTCTTTTTAGAGGGGAAGAGGGATTAAGACAGGCTCGCCTAGAACTCATGCCTCAGGCTCCCAAGTGCTGGGGTTATAGGAGTGTATCACCATGCACGGCTGGGTTTACACTTATTTTTAAAATGAGATGGCTGGGTCAAGAGAATTGTGGAAATGGAATGTTGCTAGTGCATTTCTGAGTTGGCAGTATCTGTAATGAAGAGAGAAAATCACAAAAGGATGAATTTCAGCTTATACAGAGGCAAAATGCTGTGTTCCTAATAGCATGGTACAGCAGGAACTGCCCAGGAACTGCATGCAGGCCACTTTCTCTTCCTTTGGGGTGGTCCCAGGGCACAAGGGCCCTGGACCAATAAGGACACCATCCCAAACCACAGCAATGAGACCACAAAGAAGACCACTACCACCACATGTTCCCACAAAAGACAAATGGGAGCATTCCACTTAAAAGAACAATACCATATAGGATGTCACTATTTTAGTCATGGGTCAGAGGAGTAAGGCAAGACACCAGGAGTACAGAAAGTTAGGTGGAAACCTGTGTTGCAGTCCATTTTCTGCAGCTAAGAAATTAGCTCTGGAATCTAGGCGCTCTCTATATATGTAAAATGTAGTGCTGGGGATCAAACTCAGTACCTTTTTGCTGGCTATGCAAGCATTTTAATACTGAGCTGCACCTCCATCTCCAATCAATAAGATTTATTATTATTTTTGGCAATACTGAGGTTTGAGTCTAGGGCCTCCTTATGCTTGTAGGTTGGTAGCCACTCCGCTAACCCTCCAATCAATAAGATTTAAAATGAGGGTTTATACTCATTATGGATGTTTCACTTGACTTATATAAGAGATACATAAATTTGAAAGGGCAAAGTTCTAAAGGAAATGTAAGGTCATCATATAGTTCTTTAGCCAAAACATTCAAAGCCATAGCTTTTTTGTCTTTCCTTCCCTATCAAAAGGTCTGTGCAGCTGTTGGAGAAAAGATCTAGCCCTCAAGTATGGTCTGTTTCCACTATACAATTTTATAAAGTTACCTGGCTTCAGCAGAGAAACGCTCATTAGATGAGAGTCAAAAGCAATTTGCTATGAGGCAAATTCCATAAAATTCAACCATGAAAAATTAGGTTCAATCAAGAGTGTTACCTCACCCCCATATATATATATGCACGTCTTACAATACCTCTGACAGCTTTCTTACATTTTAGGAGAGCAACTGATGTTTATAAAGACACTTAGGATCAAGGAAAGGTAAAATTAGGTTGAATATTTTTTGAGAAAAGTTGGTGCTGTTTGATATTTTCTGAGCACTTAATTTGTGCCAGGTGTATCAATGTTTTGTGAATTTTCTCTTGTCTCTTCACCACAATTCCATGAGGCAAGCACTGTTATTGTTCCTATTTTACAAAGAGGGAACAGGAAAAGCTTGGGGTTGCTACATACAAAAATAGTAAACTGTTTATCTTTCCTTCCAAACCTTCTTGTTAACTAAAGATAATGGTCCCTCCTTCACGGGGTTATTATACAATATGAATGAAATAATGTACGCAAAATGCTTAGTAGTGTCAACAACACTGTAAGAGCTCAATAAATGTTGCCTATACTTGTGATTTCTGTTCTTGGATGCTAGGAATGCTGAGCTCCAAAAATGCCTCAGAATAGAAGAAGAAATCCAATTGCAGAAACCACTAAGAGACAGATTAGGAGTTGGGGATATGGGATCATGTTACCTACGCAACCAGCTATTAAATGTTTACACAAACAATTCTATTTAAAGGTAATTAACTTATATAGCAGCTTAAACATAAAGCACTTAAAAAAGGAACAGAATAGATTCACGGGTCACATAGGATTGAAATGAAATCCTTAACAAAGTTTTCTGTATGTAGGACATCAACATTGTTTTGACTGAAAAACTGTTTTATTATTTCTGTAAGATTGAGTAACTCATATCAACTAGTACCTGTCAGTTATCAGAGGCCACACCACACAAAGTAAATTATTAACAACCTATAAAACTAAAGCAAGAAAGTGCACATGCAGGCCAGAGAGTACTCTCAGATCATACTTTACAAACACTTCAATTTCAGGAAAGTTTAGTTTAGACAGTTTCAGAAAATGAAACAATTAAGAAAATGAGGCTACTAGGTACAGACTGCACATACAATGGCTTGGGTTGTCTACAGTCTCATCAACAAATCACTGTGTTAGTACAAACACTAACTGTCCACAGCTGCCTACCTATAAGAGTTCCATGCAGTTCTTCCAGTAGTGGAAATCATCCTGCCTTTTCAATTTGGACCAGCTGGACTAGGCGTGAGACAACAATCTTAAAGCCATACATCATCCTAGGGAATCTGATGCTGACAAGATACAAACATCAACACGCTACCTACTGGTTTGTAACAAATTTTTCTTCTGGTCCTGGCAAGAGCAGAAAGAAATCAAATTCTCTTTTTTTTCTTTTCCATATAGAGGTAAAATACACATCATAAAAGTGGCCATTTAAATCACATTAAAGTGTACTATTGTCACTGCCCTTTTTTAATACTCAGGTGATATTACCATTCTGGAAGAACTCACACTGGGTATAATTCAAATAATCATAAAATTCACCTTTTGAGACAGGGTCTCAACTATGTACCCCAGGCTGGCGATGAACTTGCGATCCTCCTGCCTCTACCTCCCAAGTACTGAGTTTTACAAGTGTGCATCACCATGTCTGGCAAAATTCACCCTAACTCAGGGTCTTACACTTGACAGGCACTTGAGACACACAACCAGTCCTTTTTGATTTACTTTACTTCTAGGCAGGGGCTCATGCTTTTGCCCAAGCTGGTCATGGACAAAGATCCTTCTACCTCCACCCCCCAAGTAGCTGGGACTGTACCATGTCTGGCTGAAATTCACCCTTTTAAACACTGCACAATTCAGTTGTTTTTAGAATAGTCATAGTTGTGTAACTATAATTTTAGAAATTAAATTTTGAACTTAGGGCTTGCATTTGCTATGCAAACACTCTACCACTCGAGCCATGTTCCTAGTTCTTAATGCTTTTACTTATTTTTTGGTAGGATCTTGCATTTTTGCTGGGCTGGCCTTGGCCTTCAAACTTATTTCCACCTCCTGCATACTTGGGAAACACATGGGCATCGGATAACAAGTCTTGATAACTTTTTGCATGGGCTGGCCTTGAAACCTGGTCCTCCTGTCTTTGTCTCCTGAGTAGCTGGGATTACTAGTGTGTGCCACCACACGTGGCCCTTAGAACATTTTTATCACCCCCCCCCCACCAAAATAATCCTGGTTCTCATTAAGCAGTAATATCCAATTCTTACTCCACAACCCATGGCAACCACTAATCTGCTTTCTGTATCTATGGATCTGTATTCTAGACATTTCATATGAATGAAATCATACAGTACGTGACCTATGTGTCTTCTTTCATGTATCTTAATGTGTCCAAGATTTATCCATATTGTAGCATGAATCAATACTTCTGATCTTTTTATGGCCTCAAACTATTCCATAAACATAAAATGAATATACCACAATTTTCTCAACTACTGATGGATAATTGGGACTATATATTTTATTTTAAGGGCCTTTTAATAAACATCAAACTTACTTAGTTCACAAACAAAATATTCTCATTTTAAGGATACAAAGCCAGTAGGTTTACCTGAAAGCTATTTTTGCCTTTAGCTTTCTGGCATCCCTAAAGTCCATGTTCTGATTAAAAACTATTGTCTAGCTTGGCCTAAGGTTAGGATCACGAATGTATTTTGCAACTACTTACCACCAAATCCCTACTGAGGCTAAACTCTCTTGAGGGCAGCAATATCGCATGGACTATACATAGCGCAGGCCTGATCCACAGCAGACCTCAAATGATTTAAGTATTAGGCACTAATTACTAAGTCATTTAGTTCTAAAATTGTGCCAATGTTTAAACACAAACAATACATATTAATAAAATATTATTATATTAGTATTAGCAAAAGTACTTAAATACACTGGAATATCCTTCCTTCACAACACTGATGTACTCAGTCTTAGGACAGGATAAAACTGCCCTTTGAAAGGTAGTCCAGAGAACATGCGGTAAGGACAGTGTTGGGCAATGCACTACACAGCATTTTCTTTAAAAACCTATGGTAGGGATAGTTTCAAGAGATAATTCATCATAGCTTTCCTGATGAAAAGTACTGATCACACATAGGTTAAGAGTATAATATTGTTTATGTGCAGTCAGAAATAAGTAGTAACAGATAGCATTTAAGTCACAACACACCTACTACATGGGTTGGTAGATGGAAACCCTAGGTATCAACCAATACAAGTATTTTATTTAAGTTGTCCTTCAAATTTATTGTGATAAAAAAGAAACAAATACATTCTTCTTTTTTCCAGGGTGATAACAGTAAATAATTATTTATATGAAATCTTTGAAATTCATCAACTGAATTCTAATATATATGGTTTTCTTCCATCAGGCAGCCCAAAGTACATGGCTTTAGTCATTACAGTGTTAACTAGCCCCAGTTAATGTTTAAAGAATACTTAAAACTACTTCTGAGGCCCAGGATATAAAAGAATCAGATCCTTTATTTGTATATAAAAGTAAAATTAAGAATCTTATCCGGAACAAATATGGTTGAAACATAATATATCAGAAGTTCCAACATAATTATTTTCTGCCTATAAAAATAAAGACCCACTATAGTGTGGGATAGGGCTTATTTATTTTTTTTGGTAGTACTGGGTTTTGAACATAGGGCACTCTCTACTGCTTGAGCCACATCTCCAGCTCTTTCTGCTTCGGTTATTTTAGAGATAGGGTATCACTTTTTGCCCAGGCTGGCTGCGACTAACCCGATCTCAGCTTCTTGCCTAGCATGGGATGACAGTATGTGTCACCTTGCTCAGCATTTTACCAATGAGATGAGTTCTTGAAAATTTTTTGGGTTGGTCTGACCTGGAACAGCCATCCTCCTGACTTCAGCTCCCAACCAGCTAGGATTATAGGCATGAGCCACAGTGCCAAACTGTGTTAGGGCTTTGATTACAGTATTTTCCCACTCATAAAAAGCATGTATAATAACATGACAATGAAAGAACGACTGCTCTATAATAGAAGAACATGGTGAGAATTAAAAAAAAAAAGGGAGAAAAAGTATGCGGAAAAAGGAAATACTATTTACGTTTTTATGTTTAATTATGTTTTATTTTTAAGAGCTAATATATATTGTCTATCCCAGTTTCAGAAAGGCTTACCAAACCTAATGGCACACGGACTTGAAAAACTTGAAAACTGTTCTAATGTTGGACCTAACTTCAAGTTATAGTTATAAAATGAAATTTCTCAAATTTCTAAACTCAGATTCTCCAGGATAAGCTTTATCTTCCGTAGTAGGTAACTTCTATTCAAGTGCAAAGAAAGAGTAGAAAATAATCCACAGATAATTTTATAGGACTCCCTAGATTTTTTATTCATTCATCTAATATTCTACACCTTTTGCCCTTTAATTGTTATGTTTTTAAAATGGCTACTCTGCTGTGCACCAGTATTGTTTAATTCGTTATTTGTTAGGACTTTGTCAAGAAGCAGGCATTACATAAATATGAATTAGTGTCCCAACCACTTAGGTACAGAACATAGTTTTAGCCTTACATTCCAAAAAACTGGCCTTCAGAAGAGTGGTGGCATAATATATGATTGCTTTTGTACCTCTGAAGCACAAAAGCTGTAATACACTGACATGGGTTCCTGTGTGTTAAACAATGTTCACAAGTGAGGTATGTCATTCTTCCTCCTTCTTACAGACTCTACTGTTGCTACCTACCATGAACTATTCAAGGTACTCTTACCATTCCTTCAAGAATGAATTTTCTGTGGATAGAGATGGTAGAATTTAAGAAGTCGCCCCAGGTGATCCAAAGTTTAAGGATAAAGTGTTGGGGTGCACACATGAAGTTATTAACTACCATGTGAACTGCAGTCACAAAGACCAGGGTTCAAATTAGGTTGCCATCGCATCTATTTGGCAAAATTATTTACCTCAGTCTCCTTGTGCAAGATGGAGATAATATCCATGCTGAAATGCTATTCTGGTGATTAGATATAAACTATAAAGCTCTTAGCACAGTCGGTTACTTAATGAACAGAGACCTTCCAAGTAAAGAATATATTATTCAGAGGAGTATCTGTGATTATTTCACTAAATGATCATTTACTGTAGACTCAGAAATTTACTATCTTTATGGGAAGACCTAAGACACCACATTATTTTAACATTAAAAACCCTGATACCCTTAAAGTCCAGTAAGTAAAGAATTAGTTTAAAAAATTTAAAATTCTTAATATTAATATTTAGTACTATTCTCAAGTACCATTATGGTAACATAATGGTATGTTAAATACTCTTATATAATTTCTATGAAAACCAAGCTCATTTGTTTTCACTTTAAAGAAGGTTCAATGTAATAAATACAATTCACCCTTAAAAACATCTATATAAGCCAATCTTTCCCCAATGAATATAACATTATTAAATATCATCAGAAATTCTTTCTGTGCTTATTTCTCACTGCTTATAGTTCACTTATAATTACTCTTCATATATTCTTTTTACTTTTCTCACTTAAAATTTCTCTCTAGTTAGGTAACAATTACTCTTTAGTTTCTTAAAATTCTGCTATGAAGTTAATCTGCTTCATGCTGCAATAATAGTATGACAGAAGCTAACTTTTTATTAGGCGTGCAATGATTGTTTTCAGCTGTGCTATTTTTAGTGAAATGGTGGGCTAACCATTATGTTCTTACCTAGAGAACAAAAGCAAAAGGCAGCAATACATACACAAATGACTTACTAGGCTCATTAGGCTATTTCTGATTGCACAGACTCTAGCACACAATTATATTCTGTTAAAATAGTTTTCTAAGGAATTTGTAACAGACTCTGCTTATTAAATAATGCAAAGGATCTGTAGAGAAGATTTGTAACCAAATTTTTTTTTTTAAGTAATTATCTTTGTTGAGTTAAAACAGTGACATCCTAAGTACTTGTTTTTCTTTACTGCAGTACCAGGGATGGAATTCAGGGTCTTTTACATGCTGGCCAAACACTCTACAATGTGGTACTGGGGTTTGAACTCAGGCACTACACCGTGAGCCACTCCACCAGCCCTATTTTAATGTTGGGCTTTTTAGAGATACAGTCTTGTGAACTATTTGCCAGGGCTGGCTTTGAACCTCAATCCTCCATATCTTTGCCTTCTGAGTAGCAGGATTACAGGCGTGAGCCACCAGCACCCGGCTGATTTACTTCTTCTACCAGGAAGAAATATAAATGCACAAAATTTAACCATACCTTCAAAGACATCTGTCATTTTGCAGATATGGGCAAATGTAGCTCCAGTTGCCCAGGTATACACCACATCCATTAAGTGAGGCTTGAATGAGCTAAGATAAGTTTCCTCATCAATTTCCAATTTTGCTTCTGCTGAAACTTTTGCAATTCTTTTAGCACATTCCTTTCAAAAATAAAAGATAGGGTTAAAAATCCTTGCTTATAATCTTCCATACATATCACATTTTTTCTTTACATTTACAAAAACCCAGTACTCCACAAAGTCCCTTTTTTGTCTTAGATATTACTTTGCAATTTGGATATTCTGCTTAATAAGCAGACAGAGTGAGTTCTACTGACAAGTTATCAAACAGTTAAGCTTTCTCATGTCATAGTGGCTAAGGAAAATATATCAAGAACATGATTTTCAGTCAATTCTATCTTTTCTACAAAAAAAAGAACTCTTGATTAAAATACATAATTATTACTAAAGCACAGCATTTAATCTCTATTTCCCCAAACAATGCTTAAAACTTTAAAATGTTCTGTTGAAGGGTCCTTTTTATGATTTATTTTTTCTTCCTCTCTGGTAATGCCTTAGCACATAGTTCCCTATTTTTCTATCTACTGCTGAAATGGCTAATAAAATCAGTGAGTTCATCCAAAGAGAGTAATAAAAGACACAAATTTAATTCTACTAGATACTGTAAGCTTTGCGTGCCAAGAGATAAAAACATTTCTGTGATAAAACAGATTTTAAAACTTTAATGTATGCAATCCTGATCAAAATACCAGTGAAGTTCATCACAGAAACAGAAAAAAAAGCCTAAAATTCATATGGAAGCACAAAAGACCCTGAACAGCCAAAGCAATCCTGAGCAAAAAATGCAATGCTGGAGATATCATAATACTTGACTTAAAGTAATACTCCAGAGCCATAATAACAAAAGCATGGTACTGACATAAAAACAGACATGTAAGCCAATGGAATAAAAGATCAAGAAATAAACTCACACAGCCACAACAATCTGCCAAAATCAAACACTGGAGAAAAGACAATCTCTTCAACAAATGGTGCTGGGAAAACCGGATAGCCACATGTAGAAAACTGAAATGACTTTCCTGTCTCTCACTCTGTACAAAATCAATTCAAAATGCATCAAAAACCTTAATGTAAGAGCTGAAACTGTGAAACTATTAAGGGAAAACAATTCAAGATACAGGCACAGGCAATGCCTTTCTGAATGGGACGCCAAATGCCCAGGAAACCAAAGCAAGAATTGACAAATGGGATTTCACAAATTAAGAAGCAACTCACTGCACAGCAAAGGAAACAATTACCAGAGTGAAGAGACCACTTACAGAAGGGGAGAAAATCCCTGCCAGCTATTTATCTGACAGGAGATTAATATCCAGAATATGTAAATAGTCAAAAAATTGAACACCCAAATAGATTAACAGGGAAAGCGAATTGAACAGACAATTCTCAAAAGAAGTACAAATGGCCAAATACATAAAAAGATACTCAACATTATTAGCTATCAGGAAAAGCAAATTTCACCTAAGTCAGAACTGCTATCATCAAGACAACAAAAAATATCAAATGCTGGCAAGGATGCAGGGTAAAAGGAATCTTTATACACAGTTGGTGAAATGTAGATTAGTACAACCACTATGGAAATCAGTATGGAGATTGTCTTGAAAACTGAAAACAGAAGTACCATATGATCCAGCTATTCTACTCCTGAAGAAATCTATTTAAGTATACAATAGAGATATCTGCACACCCATATTTGTCAAAGCACTATTCACAATAGTCAACTATGGACTTGGACACAGCCTAAGTGCCCATCTGTAGATGAAGAAAATGTCTCACACATACACACACACACGAGTTTTATTCAGACCAAAATTATGTCCTTTGAAGGAAAATGGATGAAACTGAAGATCATCATGTTAAACAAAATAAGCCAGACTCAGAAAGACAAACAGTGCATGTTTTCTCTCATATTCAGAATATAGATCCCCCCACCCTGCTCCAGCAAAAAAAAAAAAAAAAAAAAAAGAAATGAAAGCAGAGGGGCAATACTGGAGGAGGAGTGGACTACTTAGTGGAAAGAGGGGTAAGAGATGGAGAATGTGTGGGTGAATATGATTAAAACACAATTCATACATGTATGAAAATGTTATCAGGAAATCCATTGTTTTGTATAATTAATATAGGTTAACTGAAAACATGACTGGAAAAACCCTATTATAAACTAGAATGGAAAAATTAGCAAAAAAAAAAAACTAAACTAAATTTAGTCCAAAGATGCCATTTTTAATATTGAAGTAAATGATACAAACATTGAATTGTGTCAGTATACCAATTCCACATTATTCAGTTTTAAATGTGCACTCCACTGACTCAATAACGAAGGGTAATGTTTAAATACTAAAATGAAAATCAAGGTTATTAATAAAATAGCATTAAATGACATGACTCAGATTGACATATTTAATGCCAACTGCATTATTATCTGTGAAATGAAGTACTAGAATTAGATTGCCCAAAAATTTTATTTTATAATAAACTGTCTTACCTGCATTTGACGAAGTGGTCCTGCTAACTGTTCTGTTAATTTGGGCATCTCGCTGGACTACAAAAGAAAAGGAAAATTAGGTATAAAAACCAAGTTTATCATACAGTTTATACTACTGGCTTGTTAAAACAAAGAAAAGCTTTTTAAATACCCCTCAGTGTTCAATTACAAGATTTTAGTCATTAGTATTTTGAGCTTTTAATCAACTCTTAGTTCTCTATAAGCAAAATAGCTACTCTTCTCTTCTTCAATTGTATTTCAGAGGAAAAACCTTACATTGCTAAATTTGCAAAATGTGACAACTAGTAATTTTTTAATAAGATTTTTTCTTTATTTTTAATTATTACTGTTGTTCTGGTGGCACATATTGTGACATTTATCAAAGTTCTTACAATATATCATAGTTGAATCCCCCCTCTCCATCATTCACTGGTAGTACTTTTGACTATAAAAGGAACTGAGGGAGAGAGAAAAATATAAACATACAAGATACACTAGTTATATCAACATTATCGATCATTTACGTGTAGTTAAAATTTCAAACTGTTTTAGTTTTTAGAAAACTCTCAATTTATAGAAATTGAAAATCTGGAATAAAGAACCTTAAAAATAATGTCCCTAATTTAATTTTACCTGGACATTTCAAGCTTTTTAATCAAGTATAAGATAGTTAAATTTAATCTGAGTTTCAGGTTGTTTTTTTTTTTTTGACAGTACTGGGGTTTGAAGGAGATAGCCACTCTATCACTTCAGTCATGTCTTGGGTCTCCTTTTTTCCTAAAGAGATTTTCCAGTTTTAAACTTCCTGCTGTAGCTGGGGTGACAGGCATGTGTCACTACTCTTAGCTTTTTTTCTGCTGAGATAGGGCTGACACAGAACCGTGTGTGTTCAACCTCCCAAAATGCTAGAATTCCAGGCCTCAGCATTGGCACCAAGCCTGAATTTCAGTATTCCTAATACTGCTTCCCCATTAGTGAAGTTTGTCAGTTTCCCACTTAAGATAGTAGAATGTTAAGATTAACACTAACCAGCTAAATAAACCTGGAAGGACTACTTTAATTCTGTATTCTGGATTCTTGCCTAATAAAGAGAAAAAACAATGCTAGATTCTCAAAATTGATAGGCTTGTGATGTGAAAAACAGAAGTTATTTATAAAGAAGGAATATATATATATATATGTGTACAAGACAGGATTTAACATAATTATAGGTATTTTTTTTCCCCCTGCAGTAATGAGGTTTGAACTCAGGGCTTCACGCTTGCAAAGCAAAATTCTCCACCATGTGAGCCACACCTCTAGTCCCCTATAGGTAAATTTCTTTTGAATGAATTATAGTTTAATATAGTTTATAAACTATAAACTATAGTTTAAACATGTGGCTATATTTTACACATCAGCAGTTATATAGGACTTTGCTTTGTATCATTACATGTGTATGTGTGTGTATTATATAATAAATACACACACATATTTGAAACCAAAACTTATCAGCATGTGATGAAAAAGCAATTGGCCAGAAAGAATTAAAAATCTTAGATGAACAAAGTAGAGAATGTAAGATTACTAAATGTCTTTAATACTGTGTCTATTCATAAGCAACAGCTGCTCATCACCCTTCTTTCTTTTGGCCACCATACATAGAAGGCACTGGTCCTGATACACAGGGGACAAGTGTGATTTTACCAATGCTCTCCCTACCAGATATGTGCACAGTTTGCTACCTCATCTAACATTTAGTTCTCAATTCAAATTTCATGTTATTGGTGAGGTCTTTTCTAATCATTTTATTTAAAATGGTAAACTCCAACACCATTTCTAGAATATGTTTGTATTTTTTTCTTTATCTTCATTCACTAGTATTAACATATCATGAAAGCAAAAGTCTGCTGTATCTGTACTGCACACACTAGGTGTTTAATAAATACTTGTAGATACCTGATCTTTATACTAGAAAGATTTATGTGATTTTTAAATTACTTTTAATGTTTTTTTTTAATGGGGGAGTTTTAGAAACACATTTTAAAATATGTAAGTATATCAAACAAATTTTATTATACTTATATGAAATATTTTACTTTTTTATTCTTTCTGACCAGAAAACTTCCGTATGACTTTTAGTTCAATTTTCCATTTAAATGTTGAAAGGCAATACTGTGAATTGATGACACTGCATATAACACAGTGTGGTTTTATCTTGCTCTAAGACTTCATAGTTATGGTTTGTTAAACCCAGTTCCTTTGAATAAGTAACACAACTGGTCTCTCATAAGACACGATTATTGTAGTACCTCATTCAAATAAAAAAAAAAAAGAAAACGTTAAGAATCAGCCACAAGATGAAGTCTGATATGGATAAAAGACCAATTTCCAATCTCCAAATCTTAAATCTGTTCAAAGGAAATCTTACTTAGAAAATGATGTAATAAATATCTGAAACTATGAAACACAATAGTCAAACATATTTTCATGAGGTAGAAGTTCTCAGAAGGACATAAACTGCTTTTTAGATTACTGTCCTATTTAACAATAGCACTATAGCTATAATTCTAATCAGGAGTCAGGGACCTGGGAAAAATATTACTTAAACAAGTAACATATCTGATAAATACAGAAATAAATAGGAGAATCATTAGTAGATAAACATATTTATAGCAGAACTGGAAAAGCAATGTGTCTTACACAATTTACTTAAAAGTTAAACTAAGTGTATATAGTAAAACATCTTCTAAAATTTAGATAATATTAAATTATTTTAGAAGGCAAACGCCTTTATCTTATTCTCATTCTACCCACTTCATTCACAACAATTAAAGCCTTAAATTTGAAACCCTAAACAATACGTTTTACTTTTTAAAACAATTTGCACTAGTTTTTGGAATGCACAAGAATAAGTAGTATTCATGTGAGTTCCATCTAGAACTTCAATACTTTTCTTTCACAGTGCTGTGACTGAACTCAGGGCTTGGCACACACTAGGGAAATACACTGAGCCACATGCCCAGCAACTTTCAGATTTCTTAAGAGCTCTTGGCAACGAACTAATTACTGGGTTATAGAACAAATTAAAAACTTAAAATCGGATATTCTCTTTTCACATAACATACACTTAATTATCTCACTTCTCTAGTATATTTGTGTCATGGTCACTCTGACTTCTAACAATATCCATAATATATAAATATAAAGCATTATATTAACAAACATTCATTATACTATTTACCACAATTACATGAATTACTAAGTAAGATATACTAAATCTATTAAACTCACATTCTCTTGGAACACAAAGCAGCTTAGTAACGCAGTTGCCTGTTCTGCAGACAGGTCATTGAAAAGGCCATTAAACATCATCTCAGTGAGAAGGAGTTCATCAGCACTGTCATTTAAAAAAAAAAAAAATCCATTTTAAATGTCAAATGTCAGAATACAAAAACATATCCTCCAAACTCTTTTTCTTTGTAGCGCTGGGGTTTGAAATCATGGCTGTGTTCCTGTGTGGCAATGCGCTACCGCCTGAGGCATGCCTCCAGCCCAAGATACACATATCCTTAACATGCAGGTTTCATAAAGTACATTGTTTTACTACAAGGAATAGTAAATGAGTAGTAGTAAAGATCTATAAAGGAAATTGCAGGTCTTTATATATTTGCCAATATATAGATAGCAAATATGGGCATTTCATACGCAGGTCTCAAATACCAAAATGAACATATTTTAACTCTCAACATGCCAGGAAAAAGTAACCACATTTATTTTCTGGGCTCAAAGGACTCTTAGTTATTTTAAAAGTAATTTAAAGAATAACAGAAAACTTTATTAGAAATCACAATTTTAAAAAAATTACAAAAGAAATTTTAATTAGAATGTACCCCAAGACCCATATTTTATGCACTATTTTCCTAGTGATGAAAGTGTACATTGTACCAGGAGTGGTGGTGCGCACCTATAATCCCAGCATTTGGGAGGCTGAAGAAGGAGGACTGCCTAGCCTAGGCTTCATAGCAAGACACCGTCTAAAAAAGTTTATATAACCAAGATGGGTAAAGTGCTTTGAATGCAACAGACTTTTCTCATCAATTGTGATTCAAGAATATGGAAAATGCCCACCTTTTCTTACAATTCTAGATTTTAAATACATCTCTAATAGGTACTAGCTAATCATTACCTCTGCTGCTTAAACTTGCATTGTCAAAATGTACTACTGACTCACTAGATTGTAGCTTTTTAAGCTTATTATCTTTGGTTTCCTTTTGCATATCAAAATGCAATGTTTTAAAAACCAGTAACTCAATTTGCTAAGGAGAAGGCCATCTTCTTTGCTATCTAATTATAAAACATTTTCATATTCAAAAACACATTATAAAGGTATTTACTATTATGATTAGAATGAGTAATCTAGAAATATTTTTCTCATCTACTTCTTTCCAACTCCCTTGTACACACAACTGCTTTTAGTATTTGACCACTTTGTATTCATTAAAATTTGGTGTACAAATCATAAAAGCTGAAAAGCTATGGTTGTAAAACTCTGGTTGTCCTTTCATAAGCAAAATGGGATAATGGTTCAGGTTCTTATTACAAAACATTACATAATTAAGTTCTTTCTGTTGAACAACTAAATGAATAATTTCATTTTTCCTTGTCCTTAGAAATGTTATTCACTGATTTTTGTGTTTGAAAATTTACCCAGTCTGAGATTTTATTTATATTATCAATTTTACTGTTATTACTTTTCTAGAGTGCTTTTTATCTCTGTTTGAATTACACAACAATTGCAAAATATCTTCCTATATTACTCGTCTCCTTGTCAGAACTGGTAGAAAATGAATATCCTGTACTTTTCTACTCTGTTCAAAGGAAGCTAAAAGAAAGACTACAAAGATGTATTTCTAGGCTTCTATAATCAGGGTTCCATAAATTACCCTACATTAATAAAAGGGCTTACTTGATCCATACAGCATTTTAAGAGCATTACTCTATTTAAAACAAGCAAAAAAGGTAAGATTTTTCTATAATTTTTAGAAGAGCTCTAAAAAAGAATAAAGCTATAAACTCTTAATCTTTACAAACACCTGTAACTTCAAAGAAGTCAACAATAACTTTGGGCCTACAAAAGGACTCAGAATGAAGTCAAACAAAAGAGCATAATAATACAAACTAGTCAAGACTGCTTCAAGGAACTACAGTCTACTGTGTTGGCAGACAAGCTAGCCAACATTCACAGAACAGTGATTTAACAGATTGCTCTAAAAGAAGTTTATGCAAGTGCTTATGATAAAAAGTTTAGGATCCTAAAATCACACTGGAGAGGTTCATAGAAAGTTTCAGAAGACTTTGGAAAATATGCAGGAATTTGCAGGATGTGGCAATAGATGAGCTAGAGGAGGAAAGGGCAAGAATGTGCACAGTTATGGAATTTATTCTATAAACAATAGAGAAATCACTGAAGGAGTTTTACCAAATAGAATTACACAACTGAATGTGTACCCTGGAAAGAATATCCTGATAGCAGTCTAAAGGAGGTATAAAAACTCAACATAGGGGCGATGAACAATTAAAAGGACTATTCCCCCAGACCTTGAGTTAAAACCCCAGTACTGAGGGGAGAAAAAAAAAAAAAAGACCACTGTAGTAAGCAGTCAAGAAATAATGAGGAATGCATACTTGTTAGTGGAAATGTTTAAAAAGGCATGGAGGTAGAGGAAACAGGAAGTTATAGAAAGAGAGGAGTCTTAAATGATTCCAAGTTTTTGCAAATTTTGAGAAAAATTAATGCACTCTGATAAACAGAAATTTTTATAAACAGAAATTAGGATAAACTCAATACCCATTCTTCCAAGACTAAATCTAGCTGTAAACCTAATTTCTACATTAATTATTAAATACTATGTAATATAACAAGGAAATAGTTCCAGTAAAAATAATTTCAGCATACGAACTCAACAGATCAGTGTTATAGTCTAAACTTAATCTTGCATATAAATTATTTACAATATGGTAAACAGAGCTGGCTTCCAAGGCAAGAAACTTATTTCTTATGGTGAGAAATAAGTAATCAATTTTTAGGATGGTATTGTAAACTGTCATTTTATGAAGATGACCATCAACAGCTCTTCTATTTCACAATGTAGACCTGCACAGATCTGTATAAACTGCCCTTTGTATATGCAACAATTTCAATTAGAATGGCATAAATTTAAATTCCCTATTCTCCATAACCATATCACAATTGCTAAACCACCAGATAAGGCTAGTGGTTACTACTCTGTGCAGACACCAAACAATTCAATCATTGCAGACAGTTCTATGGGCAGCAGCCAGTTCCCCATGAAGAGGTGGAGTCCAATTGTCCTTCACTGGAATCTGGGAGTATTTATGATTCAACCGTGATGAAGAGACTATGGTGGAAGTAATGCTGTGAGATCCAAGCTAAATTACAAAGGTAGTCTAGATGATGTAACTTCCAGTAGCCTTCCAGAACACTCACTACAGGAGCCTTGAACTTCCATGTAAGCAATGCTGTCACTGATGCTGCCACATTGTGAAGATGCCCAAAGTAGCCCAGTGGAGGGGGAAAAGGGGAAAGAGAGAAAGGGTGAGGTGGGGGGAGGGGTGGGGGAAGACAGGGAACAAACGAGCAAGCATGATCCACCACCCTAACATTACACAGCAGCTCGACTCCAACTGTTCCAGCTTAACCACTTGTCTCATAGCAATCTAGGGATCCTGAGCCAGAATCAGTTCTCAACTCAGAGAAACCATACCATGACAAAACAACTGTTGTTGTGAATCAAAACAAGTTTTGAGGTCATTTGTAATGTGGTGAAAGAGTACCAAAGCCAAGAGGAATATAGTTGTTCCATAGTATCTGCAAGGGATTGGTTTTAGAATACTGTTAAGGGTAACAAAATCTGAGGACGCTCATGTCCCTTACATAAAATGTCATAATATTTGCATATAACCTAAACAAATCCTCTCATGCACTGTAAGTCACCTCTGGATTTCTTATAATACCTAGTGCAATGTGAATGCTATGCACATAACTATTATATTGCATTGTTTAGGGAACAGTGACCAGTTTCAAGGTGGGAAAATGTTCCTAAATGTAAAAAAATACACAAGACTGTGTTTGAACTAAGACTGGTTAAGAATCGCACTATGCAATAAAAAAATGTTTCAAAGGATTTACAAAAAAGGCTAGGGATGCTTGTCTAATTACTGAGACCCAAGAGATTTTTCTAATTTCTCAATTTCACAGTATTTAATACACATAAAACCTTTATACTTTAGACAGTTTTCTAAATATTAACATCCTTCATTTGAAAAACAGTAAAATCAACTTTTTAAAAGAGCCAGATATTACCTGCTGATCTCACAAGCCACTCGTCCTTTCATCTCTATGACATCAGAAGAAGTAGCAAAGCCCAACCTTCTTAAAACACGTTTGCGACATTTGAGCTCATCCATTTGTAGGACAGTTCTTGCTTTCTTCAGTTCTCGTTTTGCAGATTTAATATCTACTGCAATCTATAGCATATAAAAGTAAAGAAAGCTCAACAGTAACATGGTTAGATGAGATTTGTTTCATAAGACTCCATTAAATTGAACTTTAAAACTCATACACTCTAAAGGATGACCTAAAGATACATTTTCATTTTAAGCTTTCATCTCCATGTACTGAAAAAGACTTATTCTCTTTGCTAAAGCTATTGCAAATCTGTGATAAAATCTGAGCACAATGTTATTAAATACTAGCTAAAATGTTAAGTACATGAAAAACAAAATGTCCATTTGAAAAATGTGAAGCAAAGTGCAGAGATGCTGGGACTTATAAGAAGCATAAGAAATTGGGGAACACAGTATGGCCCTTGCCTCAGCAAGAAGTAAAGAATAAGAGGAATGAACTGGTTAACCTTGAGCTAGACAAAGCAGACTGGAGAGGTTAAAGAAAGTCAGCAGTGAATTAGAACAACTTCTCCAAAGACAATATTCACAAGATAATCAGTCACACTCCTAAAATGCCAATCCCACTCGCTCCAGCTTTTAATCCACACACAATCAGGAGTTATCTTTGGAAAAAAGGAAAAAAAAATGAGGATATAAGAATGTTTTCGGTGGGTGGGGGGCAGTGGGAGGAATGGGGAGGTGGCCCAAACAACGTATACACATTTAAGTAAATGTAAAAATGATAAAATAAAAGAAGGAAAAAAAAATTTTTTAGCCCGACTACCTATATTTTCCCCATGATATTCTCAAAAGTTTTCTTCTCTTTGCCCTCAAATTAATTAAAAGTTTATAATGGCTTTGACAAAGAGAGTAAGTGCTATATTCAACACAGAGATGAAAGTTTAAAATGAAAATGTGTATCTTTAGGTCATCCTTTAGAGTGTATGAATTTTAAAATTCTACTTAATGAGTAGATATTATATATTCTCCAATAAGCAATTGTATTCTGAACTGGAGACTTGGAATTCAGAAATAAGAATATCCCAAAAGAAAAGTTTAGGGATTGAGAAGTTAAAAGTTGGGCTGGCGGAATGGCTCAAGTGGAATGACCGCCTAGCAAATGCAAGGTCCTGAGTTCAAGCCCCAGTACCGCAAGAAAAGAAAACAAGAAGTTAAAACTCAGACTGTAAAATTCTGTATACTATTAAGCTACAACTAAGGAGGAGAAGTGATGCTTTTTCAGAGATTACCTATGTACCCTATGTCTGGGGTTTATAGTATTTAATTCTTATAGGAATCCCAAAAGGTAGAGAATATCAAATTCACATTTTACAGATGAGGAAACTGAGGCATATGAGATTACTAAGTAAACTGGTCAAAATTACAGAGCTAGTGAGTGATGGAGTTGAAATTGAGGCTAAAACTTTAGAATAAATAAGCTCTTAGCAATTATCTACATTGCTATGAACTGATGTATTGTCACAACACCACTTTATAGGAAGGAAGCAGTGATTTCTATGCTACATTGCTCTATGCAACCTAGTAATGACTTATCAGGACTATCAGAAAAAATTTTTATAGGATTTTTTGGAGGGTACCAATAGGAACAGAGCAAACCTCTGTGCTAAATACAGTGAGGTTCATAATACTTGTAAGCTAGTAAACAGTTCAATAATTAGAATTATTTTCCTCAGTAAATTTTATATTTTGAATATAAAAATGTTAAAATTACATTATAAACATACTGGATTAAATAAAAATATTACTATTAATTCCATTTGTTTTTAATATGGTGACTAAAATATTAAAATTACATGTGTGACCTGCATTGTATTTCTACTACATGCCACTGCTCTAGATTTTTGTGCACACATTTATAAAAGAATATAAGCTGGGCACAGGGGTGTGCACCTGTAGTCCCAGTTACTTGGAGGCTGATATAGGATACGATAGGATTCATTTTCCAGAGTACACATAAATCTACCAAACTCTTAAATGGCTAACTTGATATATCCATTTATATGGACAGGTATAATTTATATAATAAACTTATACCAATAAACACCAAGGTATATATTCATATGAATTTTTCAAGTGTACAAGAACTTCGTTTGCATGGACTTTATATTGCAGTCTCAATTCTTATCAGTGTTGGAAAGTTAGGTCAGAATGTGTAAGCATTTAAAATGTTGACAGTTGAGGGTCATATTTTGAAGGCCCCTTAGACAAGGATAAAGGACATGAAATGTGTCTTGCAGTCACTACAAAATCATAGTTCACAAAAAGCTGAGAGGGCTTTAAAACTAAACATATTACTCTATTAAGCCAAAGGTCAATATATATAAGTTATCTATTTATAAAAACAGATCACTATGGGAGAGTGCAAATAAGCTAACATGGAACCCATGACTCTAATGAGCTTAAAAATCTGGTCTGTGAGACAGAAAGATAAATGTACTGGCAAAAGTAATAAGTGACATAACTTCAAAAAAGTTATAGGAGTTGTTACAAGCTTAGAGAAGGAAGTGCAATCTGTAAACTACAAAACATTCTAGTAGAAGACAAATGGATAGTGGAAACAAAAATGATTTACTTCAAAAGTATTGTCTAAATTCACTATTCATGACAATTATAAGAATGTTTCTACTGGTTAGAGGAAACTATACTATAGGATGGCTATCTAAAAAAACACAGACAATAACAAGTGTTGGCAAAGATGTGGAAAATTTGGATCTCAACTTGTTGGAGAATGAAATATAGAGTAGCCACTTGAGAAAAGTTTTATAAGTTTTGCCATATAATGCAGTGATTCTTCCCAATTTCACTCAAAGAAAATGAAAATGTAAATCCATAAGAAAGTTTAAACACAATGTTCAGAGCAGCATTATTCATAAAAGCCAAAACATGGAATAAAACCAAATGACCATCAATTGGTAAACAGGTAAGCAAACTATGGTATATCCATACAATTAAGCATTATTTAGCCATAAAGGGAATAAAGTACTTATTCATGCTACAACATGGATGAACCTTGAAGACATTATTCTAAGTGAAAGAAGGAAGACACAAAGGCAACATATTATATGATTGTATTTATATGAAATGTTCTGAATAGGCCAATCCACATAGACATAAAGCAGATTTATGGTTGCCAGGGGCCGAAGGATGAGGGAAATATAAAGTGACTGCTAATGGGTAAGAAGTTTCTGTTATGGTGAAGAAAATGTTCTAGAATTAGATAGTGGTGATGGTTGTAGCTATCTGTGAATGTACTAAAAACCACTGACTTGGACACATTGAAGAATCACATAAATTACTCAACTATAGCAAAACACAATAGCTAGACACTCCCATTTTAGTTGAAAAGAAACCCAATAGGACAAGACAATGAAAACCACATATAATACATATAATTTAAGTATAAAAACTAAGTTTCTGCATACCTGTGCTTTTTTTTCACAAAGTGTATACACAGTTTCCAAATTTGGATCATTGTGAAGTGGATGAGAATACATTCGATGCTCAAAAGCCTCTACTTTCTGAATGACTTTTTTCAGTCCTTGATCTTGAATTCCCATGTCATCAATAGGATCTAATAAGGGAACACCATCAGGAAAACGTTTCTGAACTTCCTGAAACAAAGTAAGAAAATTCATTTTTTCTCATATACAAAATTTGTAAGACTAAGTATTTTCTTTCGCAGTTATTCTATGCACATAGATATAAAAAGACTGATGTAGTTAAAAACTCATCCCTCAGCTCTCCAGATGCTGAGATTATAGATACATACTACCACACCCAGCTAGAAAACTCCTTTTTAATTGCTATGCTAAAATTTAAAGATATAGGAATATATGTACTTCACTAATAAATGTAGCATTGCATAGTTCAATAGTTCTGGATGTGGCATGACTTACTCATAAACCTGTTATTGTGTATATATATTGGTGTAACACCTTGCCACGATAAATAATCCTGTATTAAACATCTCTATGTACATATTATTTTCAGTGTTTATATCATTTCTTTGGTGTTAAATTCTAGGTAGGGCACTACTGTGTTGAATATCATGAACTTTTTTAAAGGTACTGATCCCTTTTGCTAATTTTACATGATTAACTGTCAAATATAGAGAGCACATGAGTTCCAAGAAAGAATAGCTCATGAAAGGCTGGTATCACACTGGGAGAATTTCAGGATCTTAGATAGACCTTAAAGATCAGCTAGATAGAATATGGCTAGTTAGCACCTGCCTTACACTAACTTTGATCCTAAGTATGCCAAAAAAAATAAAATAGTAAAGTATGTGTTGTGTGTATCTGTGCATGCATACACAAAGACGACACACCATTAGCTGGGCACAGTGGTACACATCTATAGTCCAGGTACATGAGAGACCGAGACATGAAGATTACTTAAGCCTAAGAGCCTGACACTGGCTGGGCAACATAGTGAGATGAGACAAGAGGGAAGGGAAAGGGAAGAAAGAAAGGGTAAAAAGAATAAACATAAGAGTTCAAAGACTTTTGAACATTTCTGTATTAAATAAGCCAATAATGCAAGCTGCCTTAAGAAACTGATTATCTTTGCTAAGTGCATACAGCAGTTCTCGGGTGTTTGCCCTCTCAAGGGGGTTTAGCACCAGTACAAAAATCACACAATTTTATAAATCAACTGCCATTTTTTATATACAAAGAAACCAAATCATAGGCATCCAAAGAAAAACTATGATTTTAGCTTGAAAGTTAAAAAACATACAACAAATAGCAAAAGAGGTATCTTTAGTCAAAGGGTTATTTAAATGGGCTCATTTCCAATTCTTCCTCTGGTTTCCTAACATGTGCTGACTAATGTTTATGAGGGACTAAGGAAAACAATACTGTAACATATGACTAAATAATGAGGCAGAACTAAGATGAAGTGAAGTTACTTTAAAAATTAAAATTTTTAAAAATTAAAAATTAAAAAGATATTAAAATATCTTGTCCTGGGATATAGTATAGTGATATTTAAGACAAATATGACAAGCCTAAATTTCCCAAGATTTACTTCAACAAAACTTCATTTTAAGTGTAACGAAATAAAAACTGACCTAACTCAGATGCACAAAGTAATCAGTTTTTCCAGAATGACTGCATTATTTATGCTAACTTAATAATGACCAACGTGGATTTCTATGCATAATTATGTCACTGTTTTCAAGATACTAGAACAATTTCAGTGAACTTTTAAGATATATTTATTTACCTCCAGACTAGTTTAAGAGTGTTTGAAAACTCTTTGGGAGTGTTTCCTGAAAGTCCTACAACAAACTGAAAGCATCCTCTTTATCCCTGTACTTTCATATTCTACTTTAAAGCCCTTATTGCATAAGAAGTGATACTCAACTGTATACTGACCAAAATAACTTTGTCACTTCTTTTCTCTATTAGCAAATTAAATTTTCTAGAAAGTCATTTCTCCTACTGAAAATAAAACTATTTTATCCATTTATTTCCACTCAAAATTCTGGCAGATGATTTCATACAGTCCAGTTATTTTCACTCAGAATGAACATATCAAGTTATACTCAGCACACTGATAGTGAACCCTAGTCATGCACAGTTTTTTTAAGTCCTCCTTCAGCAATACACTTTGTTAGTGGATTTAAATCAAAGACAAATTTACATAAAAGAGGACATCATATATCTGCTGTGACTAATTTTATGGAAAAAAATTGCCACTACTGATAGTGTTTATAGTTTTTGTGAAAATAATGTATTTAAAAGCATTTCAGTTGTCTCTTTATAAACTCTACTTGTATTTATGCAAAATTTACATTTTAATATAAATCTAACATGCATACCTGTATTGATTTTAAAACACTCTGTCTATTGTCCACTGGCCGAAGGTCTTTAGGAATATAAAGCCTAACACTGCTGATAGCAGAAAGGAGATGCACCAAAACTGGAACAACCTAAGAACAAAAGTTATATAATACAATTAAAATTAGACATTTTCAAATTTTGCCATTTCCTAAACTTGGATCCATTCAAGAAAGCTGCATTTACAGTATGTCACAGTATCAAGATGCTGATAATCATTGTTGAGAAACCACCTACCGCTGAAACTTTTATCTTAGTAGAGATTATTTAGTAAGTAAAAACTATTTCAAGTATTTTAAATGACAGGCAAATAAATGGTACATAAAAATAAGAGATCCTTCAATACAGGATCTACAGTTTATTTTTCTGTTCTTAGTTCATTTGGCTCCTTTTTGATTATTTAAAAGTACTAAAGGCTAGGAGTGGTACGCACGCCTATAATCTTAGCTACTTCAGAAGCAGAGATCAGGAGGATCAAGGCTAGAGGCCAACTGGAGCAAAATGGTCACAAGACTCCATCTCAATCAATGGCTGAGTGGGGTAGAGGGTGGTTGTGTAAGTGTGGCATGTGCCTGTCATCCTAGCTATGTAGGGAAGCACAAATAGGAGGACTGAGTTCCAGGCAGGCCCAAGGCATAAAGAAAGGTCCTATCTCAAAAATAACCAATGTGAAAAGGGCAGGGGGAAGAGGGAGGTTGTGGTTCAAATGGCAGAGCGCCTGCCTAGCAAGCACAAGGCTCTGAGTTCAACACCAGCATGACACTCCCCAAATTTACTATAGCAGTACAGAAGTATCCTGTTTAAAGGGTTAAATGGCCAAGGAAGGTGTATGTTAAGTTCTACATAAGCTAAATACAGGCTAGAGGACTGGTACAAGTGGTAGAGTGCCAAGCCTGCCTAGTAAGAGTGAAACCCCCGAGTTCAAACCCCAGCATGACCAAAAAAAACAAAAAACACTGGCTCAAGTGGTACAGGGCCTACCTACCAAGCATAAGGCTCTAAGTTTAACCCCAGTATCACCAAAAAAAAAAAAAAACAAAAAAAAAACAAAAAACCAAGCTGGAATATAAAGAAGAAAAACTGTATTTTAAAAAGAGAAAATATTATATTCCATTAGACATGATCTAGCAGAAAACATGTACGCAGTAACTTTCATCCATGTTTTCTCCAGTCAAGTATACACTGCCCTCACTATCAAATACGTATCATTTGGCTCCCTTAAACCACTCTCAAATCTGGAGGGCTTCTATAACATTTAGGTGTGCTTAACAATTTCACAGGTCCAAAGATGTCAATATAGTGGTTTTCCACAGCTATTTTTACAGACACCACTAGTTAAAAAGCAATTGTCACTGGCTTGCTGGTAACAAATATATTTAGTGATTTATTGAACAGAAACAATACTTCTGAGTTTAAGTTCTAAAATCAAGGCTACCTGCATTTGAACTCAATCTTCAGCTAGGTGTGTGACCTTAGGTAAGTTTCTAACCTTTTAAAGCTTTCGTTTCCACATTCATAGAAACAGAGATAAAATTACACTCATTTTATTTAACTGTCGTGAATATAAGGCAAAGTACACATGTTTAAGTTACTAACGTACATTTTTAATAAGTTTAGTCTAACAAATGTCCTGCAAATGTAAACAAATATGCATGTAAGTGTTAAAATAGCAGGATCATATACTCAAATGGACAAAAAAAAAGTATCTGTCCCATTTTAAGTGGCAAAAAGACTGAAAAACTGGAAAGAGCATACATTGTTTAAAAAGAACTACTGTACTAGGCAGGAATAGGCAGGAATGCAGTACTAGTGTTTAGAGGTCTTTTTTATTTTTTTAAAGCCAGAAGTCTAGTTTATTACAAAGTCTCCACTTTTAAAACCTGATAACCAATTTACATTCTTTCTGTCTCTCAGTCTTTATAAAATTACCTTTACTTTTTATTTTTGCGGTACAGTAACATTATTAGCTAGCTTTCTACTTAAAAACAAATGAACAATACTATGAACTATTTGTGGTATTTTCTCAACTAGTTTTCCAAACTGCTAGAAGTTTGCTAAAACTATTTATTTAGCAAACTATTAACAATGTTATCTGTCCGTCCTTACAGTTTTGTTTTTGGGGGAAGATGTTATTTCTGTCTTCCTGCCTTCATTTTTGTTCTCATTTTCTAATCATTTGAAATAGAGTTACATACAATGTCACTTCATTTCTCTAGCATACATCATTTAAGAGCATGCATCTTTTAAGAACAAGCACATTATCCTGTATAGCCACAATAAAAAATTCTAAAAAAAAATCACACCACCTAACAGAAAGCCCATACATAAATTTTTCCCACTTGACCCAATAGTAAACTTTATAAATTATTACTACTACTACACTTTTGGGTCCAGGGTTCAATTGAGGGTCATATCTCTAGTCTTAAGAATATCTGCCTCCTTTTTTGTTCTTTTAGTCTTGACAGTCTCATAATTTCAAATCTATAGAAAAGTTGCATTAATAGCATAAAGAGCTTCCACGTAACTATTCCAATAACTATTTACATTTTTCACATCTGTTTTATCATATTCTCCTTCTCTCTCCACACAGTATTTAAAAAGAGAATTTTAATGCTGATACAGAAACTTGACCTAACTTACACTTCTTAAGACTTTTTTACCTACTTTTCCCAAAATGTCTTTTTTAATACCTCCCTCGTAAAAAAAGGTAGGATGACTTTAGTTGCAATAGTCTCTCTTAAGCTGGAACAACTGTTCAGTTTTTCTCTCAAGACTGACTTTCTTTCAATACTTTAGTTTTGTAGAATGGCCTGCCATTAGGGTTTTGCCTAATCATCAGATTAAGGTTGTACATTCTGGGCAGAAACCGTGTTTTGTTCTTTTCAGCCCATTGATTAACATTAATGATACCAACTTTGATCACTTGATTAAGGTGGTATTTGCTTACAGTTTTCTACAGTAAAATTACTACTGTCCCCTTTTATAGTAAGATCCTTTAAAGGCAAATATACTATTTTCATCAAACATTTAAGTATTAAGTTTCATCATCTATGGATGACTTTTGCAACATCACTATTCCATCTACATTTTGCCTTTCTCTTTCAGCATTATTTTCATATTATAATACTTTACTATCAATTTTATTTTCAAACTGTCCAACCCATTTTTAAAGATATCATCTTTAAAATGTGAGCTGCACTGGGTTCTGAACCAACAGTTTGTGACTTATACAAATCCCAGATGCTGTAGCTGGAATGAGAAGACTTAGGATATGAAAAATTATCAGTAATGTACCAGGCAGCAAACATCCAGAGGAAGGAATGCACAATTTTTCTACATGTGCATAATTTAAAATAGTAGAAAAATAAAAAAACTCATTTGATTGTATAAAACAAGAATGTTTTATGTATTTAAGGTTGAATTCAATATGTATTTAAGTCAAAACACTCTAAATGAATTTGGAGGAATGTAATTTCTTTACACCAAGACTATTAGGCTTAAATACAAGGTAGTTTTTCATTCAAACAAATTGTTTTTGAGCCAAATGACTTCTATCATGTCAAGGCAGATTTATTTAAGCCAGTGTGCTACTGATTAAATTTTAGAATTAAAAAAATGAACTTGTGCCTTGATCAAACTTAAGAGCTGACTAATATAATAATCTATTCTATAAACTGGGTGTCTTCTCTAACTTTATTCAAGAATGTCAGTGAAAATAGAACATGACCTCCAAAATTCTCTTCTTGGTAAAAGCAATGACAACATTGGTAAAACTGTCAAATTCAACTTCTTCACAATTTTGGAAATTATTCACAAGCTGAAAACTACCCAGGGAGCATTTATTCAAGGAAAATGGCTGACTTTTCCTTGAGGAAAAAGGTTATCCTTGGTAAGAATAACAAGCTTTGTATGGCATTTTAACTTCTCCTTCTACTCCACAGCTCCAAAGTAGTTTGAAAAACAACAACCTGTAATCATAGTGAAAACAAGTCTGGTACCCACTGGAAAATGAAAGAAGTTGGTATTTACTTCAAAGCCCCCTTTCCAGAGAACTGTCATTATCTCACCTGTCTGGTCATTCCCTGGAAGACTACATCCACAAGCTGTCTTCATTTGACCTGATTAAGAGCTTGCTCAGGGCAAGCAACCTTTTCCCCAGGGGCATGTGTCCAATATAATGAGACAATTGTTTAATCACGGCTGCCTGAGATGACAGATGACAACAGTGGACACAAGTTAAAGGTTAACTAAAACCCTTAAAAGTAAAAGTTGGGGACTAAAATGTCCATCGAGGTATCTGAAAAATTCCCACTTGTTTCCGGGAATTTAGAAGCATGCACTGGGCTATGTGCATTCTCAAGAAAGACCTGAAAAGGCCTAACACCTCACCTCTCTAACCAAGAGATTACACATACAGAAGTTAGGTAATGCTAATTGGTGCAGGCCATCTAAGGAAATCTTTGAGCAATTATTACCTAACTACTAAACTAGCCAAGCAAAGATTTCAGTGCCTAAACAAGATTAAAAAAAAAAAAAAAGCCCAACATATTTAATACAACTAGTTCAGAAAAGTCACTAAACAAGTAACTAAGAAAACAGTAATAAAAATAAACTTGTAGGGAGTGGGAAAAATCTAATTTCCAGAGTCACTACACTATTATTTTAAATGTCTAGGTTACAGTAAGAAATGATGCATGTAAAGGAAACAACAAAGTATGACCCACATAAAGAGAAAAGTTAGCAAATAACAGAAACTGTCCTTGAGGAAGCACAGATATCAGACTTAACACCATTTAAGTTAGCTACTTTAAAACTTGCCCCAAGATTATTTTAAATATGTTCAAAGTTCATTTAAAACTCTGGTTTGGACATGGCGGTGTGCATGTGCAGTGCCAGCTATTTGGAGGATGAGGCAGGAGGATTACTGGAGCCCCATCTTAAAAAAAAAAAAAAAAAGAATAAATTTGAAATATTATATTACAACACTCTCATGTAAACAAGTGTCCAAACTGCTAAATCTCAATGTTTGTATCTTAAGCTTCAAGCAGTTGTTATACATTATAAGTCTATAGGTATGAACTACAGTTTTCTACATCTCTTTATTAATGTTTTTACCTAACAATGAATGATTTAGTGAGTTGTTTGATTAAAGAAATAAGATAGAAATCATTTATCTGGACCCTGTAATTATGATATTGACTCTTAACAGTATGAGTCTCATTAACTCACAAGGTGGCTACAATAAGGCACAGTGGTCAGATACCTTTAAAGTTGGCAAAGCATCAGTGATAAACTGTAAGCGATGTTTAGAACATATCATTAAATCTGTCAATCTCTGTTAGTTAATTGTAATCCAGAGCTGGCATGTGCATACATGTGCTCTCTCTCTCTCTTTCCACACATATTCTCTCTAAACTTTCTCCAAAAAAAAAGTTAAGTAATATTTATCTCATAGGTAAAAGGAAAAGTCACTTTACCAAGTAGACTTGTACAAAGTATGATAAAAAGCTAAGTTTGGCATCACATACATTCAAAAAGAGAGGAAAAGAAAAAAAAAAGAAAACCCCATTTTCACTGCAAATCTCATGCAATGGAAGTCTGGTTCTAACCTACCCTGAATAGTGCTAGATAATTGTAGTTGAGAGCTGAGTTTCCTTAGTACCTGCATGACTATTCAAGACAAGTCATCTATAAAGCAAACAAACAAACAATATACATACATATATACATATATACACACACACACATATTCTGCTTTGCAAGGTATAGTCCTCCTGTTTTATTATTCGACCATTGTCATTCAAAGGTAGAACAGAACAACTTGGAGTTCTTTCTGAAGAGGGGAGTTTCATGCTCTGTATGTTGCTTCCTGTGGTGAGAATTTAATTCTTAACTGAAAAAATTCCAATGCCTTCCAAAAAGTATAGTTTTCCCAACAAGTTCGTTAAAATCTGACTACTTCATTGATAAAACCTACCTTATTAATTTCCTGCCTTAGGCATGATACATCTTGAGGTTCACCTAAGTTTTTGAAGAAGTACAAAATGTTCCTTCATTAAGCTGCAATCCCCTTACAGTCACAGAGTATATAAAAATTATTTTAAAAAATACTGTGAATTCCAAATCCCATAATGATTTATTTATCCAAAGAAGCAGTCTATGATTATGATACCACAGTGGCAAATTGTACTTTCTAGAAACAAAGCTTATTATAACAAATATAATTTCCTATATTAAATTATAAAGAAATTGTTTTGAAAACAAGAAAATTCTACCATAATGTTGGACTTCATATAGGTAACTTAGAATCTCTGCAGTAAGATTTTATCAACAATTAATTTTATCTATTCAAAAAATGTCTAGAAATGGGATGTCCAGGGATGCCTAGTGGTAGAGTGGTTGCCTAGCATGCACAAGGCACTGGGGCCAATCTCTAGTACAGAAAGGGAGTATCTCACGTGGCAAGTCAAATGTTTTTTAATTACTTTCAATTTATTTTTCTTTCCTTTTTTTGTCATGTTTTTTCAAATGTGCTACATTTAATTAAAGATATCTGAATTAAACAATTTTAATTAAGAAAACTTCAATAGTAATTTTTCATCATGAAAACAATGTTTCAATAATTATTTCCACAGGAATGAAATAAACAGCAAAGAGCAATCCAAATTGTAAAATCATTCAGTCACCAATGATAACGAAAATGCTTTATAAGCCTGGTAAAATCCACTTTCATGTGAAATTGGAATTATTAAATTTGCTTTACCTTTCTCTTTGTCATTAACTACCAGGTCATAAAAAGAAAACTAGAATTTTATGAATCACCCTACTATATTTTAGATGGCTATGTCGAAATACCTTAACACTTCTAATTTAGGAGTTATGAAAGTATGTTCATTGCAATTACATTAAAACTAGTGGTGATAATTCACAGAATATCTGAAATCTGAAGATGAAAAGTAAAATACAAACCTGCATCTCTCCTTTCTCATCAGGCTTGGCTGGTTTTGCAGCCTCAGTAGCTGAATTTTTTAAGCTTTCTTTGCTGCAGCGCAGAAGTACTTCTACTACATATAAAGGATCCAGTTCACCAGAATTAGGCTGGAAAAACAGAATAAAGGAAGTTCATTAATTCTTGAAAACTGGCCCATAAATTTTAAGTTCCATGGGCCCAGGGCCTATATTTCAGCTTTTAGCATTATGACTGGCATATACTGTGAAGTGTTTACTTCATACAGTGAAGAAGATTATCTTTGCATCCTTCAACTTGTTCCACTGGATGAGAAAACACAGCAATAATTCATTATTTGTAAATTTAATGGTACGATCATTGCAAGCTGCGACATAAAATGCCACTTTTAAGTTCTTAATAATTAGTTTATATTATTGCAGAATTAGAAAAAACAAAATCATCAGTAGCAGAAAATGAGACTATCTCCAAATCATTCTAATTAAATGACATGTAAAATAAATTGAGTACATTATTTTACAGATCAGTATTGATAGAATAATAATGTCGCCATTTATAAATCGGCAGCCATTTTATCCTCAGACCTCACCTGAGAAACTTCCAAGGACAGCCCCGCCCTGAACAGAAGTTCCCGTGCTCTAAGACAGCATGTACTAACTTCCTTAACCTCCCCCTTGTATAAAAGCCATGCCTGGCCCAGAATCACTGTTGTGCCATCTTTTCCCCGGCCAGCCTGGCAGTTTGGGCCTGCCATTAAACTTTGCTCTATGAACGTGAGACTTTTCTTGTGAGCGGCATTTTTCCTAACAAGTACATTGGTACTTCTATAGTATGTCTTCACATCATTTCACTAAGTCTTTTATATTAACTAAGAAAAACATGATTCTGAAGATCTCAGGACTAATCACATCTTCTGCACTATGATAATGTATGCCTGAGAAGAATGTATTTCAAACAGTAATACACCTTTTTGTAAGGTCTAAACGTCTAAATGAGCTCTTCTGCATAAAATAGATAAAAAGAAAGTTACTGTGATTGAGGAGGAACACGGCAAAGCCCTGACGGTGTGGTTTCTTCACTGGATATTAAAAAATATGAAAAAAAATGAGTATATTAGAAGACTGAGATCTGGAAGATCGTGGTTGAAGGCTAGCCTGGGCAAATACCTGTGAGTCCTCAACAAGTAGCGAGGCCCAGTGACATGTGCTTGTCATTCCAAGCTATGTGAGGGGCTGAGATCAGGAGAATCACATTCTAGAACAGCTCCAACAAAAAAAGCTCGAAATCCCCATCTCAGTGGAAAAAAGCTGAGCATGCTGCTACATACCTATCTTTTCAGCTATGACAGAAAACAGAAAATAGGAGGATCATGGTCCAGGCCAGCCTGGGCAAAAAGAGACCCTATTTCCAAAGAACCAGAGCAAAAAGGGCTGAAGGCTTGCTTAAACGGTAGAGTACCTGCCTAGCAAACCTGAAGCTCTGAGTTCTTATCCCAGGTTAAAAAAAAAAGAAAAAGAAAAAAGCAACAACAACAACAACAAAAAACCAGAAAGAAAATGTGTCAATAAATGACACTGCATCCATATCTATAATCCCTTTCTGGAAAAAAACATTATTTAATAAAAGTAAACCCTATTTCTAAATATAAACCACAAAGAAAATCACAATTATCTTAAGTCATTCAGTTCAAGTTTCCTCAAAGAAAGCTAAGCTCCATTTATCCAAAAGGAAAACTAGCTTTTTCTCAGCATTACTTTTTTCCCAGTTAAGGTTATTAAAAGTAAGTTTCAAAACATTCTTCAGTGTAGTACAGACATAAAGCAAAGATGGATAGTATTTTTTGCTTGGATCATCTCTGTCTCCAAAGATTAGAATATATATAGCCAATGAACTAAACAAATGTTTATGATTAACTATCAATTTCTCCTAAGGAGCCAACAACTGTAAGGAGATTCAACTCAGAAATAGTCTTTTTTTTTTTTTTGGAGGGGTGGGGAGATGGACAACCATATTGAAGATGAATTCTACAACAATGAATTAACTCTAAAGTGTTAGGGGGGGACACTTGGTATCTTGACAAAAGAAACCTGTTAACATTAATGAGCATTAATTAATTAACTGATATATATATAGATAATCTAGAAATGTTAACTCTGCTGTTGGGTTTACTTCCAATTCTGTAGGTTTTTCAAATTTAATATTCTTCATCAATAAAACAACCACAGAACTGGCTGTAAAACATACCATACATGGTCATCTTTGTAGAGCTTAAGACAGTATTATGGAAATAGCCTCATCTGTTACTATGGAAATGCACTGGAAAGCTTTCTTAATTATAACATTAAGTGAAAATTTATTAAAAAAATTTCCTAAGATAACAAAAATTTTCTCACCTAACTTAGTCTAGTTCTCTACTTTGTAAAGATGGGTCAGCATCATCTTTCACATAAAGGGAAATAGTTACTAAGTGTTCTAAACCAAATTTTCAATTGAGTTATCTTACTTTGATTACTCAAATTTTTGTTCATTTTTTAATTCTTATTTCCTAATCATAACTTTCTTTCTCCTAAAGTTCCTTCATTCCTTTTAAAATGTGACCAATTTTTTGCTATAAATTGAAGTTGACCAAATTAAAACATAGTTTTGCTAATCCTAAACTTGTAGAATGCAAAGAAACAATATAAATAAATATTAAAAATTAAAATTTTATATCCTTAAAATGACTCACAATATTTTCACCAGAGTCTATTCTTTGTCTCTGGCAAACTCAACTTGCCACAAAAATCTTTGGATTATTTTTCTGACCTAGATTCCAAAATAAATAAAAATGAACTTCATATTTTTAGTTAACAGACAAATGCAAGTAGCTCAGTGGAAAAATTTGATCCGCCGTCAATTTAAACAGAAAAAAAAGTTCCACTCTAGTCCTCAATCTATCTTTGCCTAAAAGAACTCTCATGAACAAGTATTATTTTTATAAATGGATTAAGGACCAACAGAGGCAAAAATTAAAAAAAAAACTGTCTGGGTGTGCATACAACTGTAATTATCAATAATTTTCTTCCTAGAAATATAAAATCTTAGATATACTACAGTACTGGCATGGCAAAGTGAGGAGTTCCACAAACCCACTTCCCAGCAAAACTGGAGACTATTATGAAAAATCGAGCATTTAAAGTCTCTGGAAATGGTTCTAGGAAACACCCACTCAAGAAAAATCTAAAATTTAGTAAGAAGAGCAAGTCAAAACTCACTCTCCCACTCATCCCAGCTCATCAAGACAGAACGGTGAAGCTAAAACTACTGGAGGGCACCTATCCTTTTCCTTGGCTTGTTAGGAGAAGCAAGCAGAGAAAACTGAAGCTACTATATCCATGTACCTTCTAAGCCCTAAGTTCCGTAAAACAGGAATAGCAATCAGAGGAAAGTGAACAACTGTCCTCACATCCAGCTTTAAAACTTTGGCTCAGAGATACTGCCTAGGAGGAGAACCAGACCTTAAAACAGGTAGCTGTAGTATCTTCCCAAAGAACTGATATCATTTGCAATGGCCTGGGAAAGTTCACGGAACTCTCAAAAATGGTAGCTCTAAGGAAAGGTAATTTGTAGATCACTGGAGATATGCTACATTATAGTCCATCTAGTTTGCAGGATTGAACCTGGATTTAAGAAGACTGCTGGGAAAGCCTTCCTCCTAGTGGAGCTTAACAGCTGGATATTTCCAAAGAAACATACAGTCCAGAGACTCTTGCAAGAATCATCACCATCCAAGAGTGACTATGGGCACATCTAAGGCTATGTCCCCTTTCTTCCACCCCAAGAGCAACATAAAAAGGCTTTTATGCTGGTTGGGGGATGCAGAGACAAGTGAGGCAGAAGTATCTTCACCCAAATAACATAATATTGGCTAGATTTACAGTAACTGCTACATTTACAGTAAGTAAATGATAACAACAGTCTGCAACAGAGGAGGAACCCAGAATTACTACATTATCTAAAATATCTGATTTCTAATTTAGAAAATGACATATGCAAAGAAACAAAAAAGTATGATCTATGATCTAAATCAGAAAAAAAGGCAGGCAAAAGAAAATACCTATGTGACCTCAGTGATGAGTTAAACAAAAACTTGAAAGAAGCCATTGTAAATATGTTCAAAGAACTGAATAATGAGGAAGAAAAGGAAGGTATAATAACAACGTAGTGTCAAATAGGAACTATAAGTTAAATGAAGTTATATAAAAAAATCAAAAGGAAATTCTAGAGTTTAAAGTACAACAACAGAAACAAACAAAAAATCACTACAGGGCCCAAGAGTGGATCTGAACGGTAGAAAAGACACTAGGCAAACTTAAAGACAGATAGATAAAGATTTCAAATCCAAAGAACAAAGAAAAATAGAATGAAGATAAATGAACTGAGCCTCATAAAAACATAAGAAACGAAGTTCAACTTAAATCCATAAGGAGTTCCACAAGGAATGGAAAGAGAGGGAAAAATTCAAATAAGAGCTACAAAATCCCCAAACTATTACTTTTTTTTTTTTTAAAATATATCCAAGAATTCACTGAACTCCAAGCACGATAAATGCAAGGAGTACACAGACAGATAAATGTATACAGATAAATGTATCATAGTAAAAATGCATAAGCCAAATCATAAGGACAAAATCCTGAAAGCAGCAAGACAAAAACCCATCTCTTACAACATAGACACCAACAATATTAACAGCAGAAACTTCTCAGAAGAAACAAAGGATCCAGAAAGCAGGGGATGGTATATTCAAAGAACAACCCTCCACCCCCCCAAAAAAATTAAAAAACAAGACTGTTAACTAAGAATCCTATATCTAACAAAGTTATTTTCCAAAAATGAAGACAAATTGAAGACATTCCCAGATAAACAAAAACAGAAATCTGTTGCTAAAAGAACTGCCTCCCAAGAAATACTAAAGGAAGATCTTTAGGCTGAAGGCAAGTGACACTAGACACATGAATACACACAAACAAAACAAAATAAGAAAACACTGGTAAAGGTAATTATGTAATTATAAAAGACCAAATAAATGAGTATTTTTCTCTTAAGTGATTTAAGAGGCAGTTTATAAACATGTGACTTTTATCACTGAGCA